ACAACAACAACAACAACAACAACAACAACAACGACCACAACAACAACAACAACAACAACAACAACAACAACAACAACAACAACAACAACAACAACAACAACAAACCAACAACAACAAACCAACAACAAACCAACAACAACAACAACAAACCAACAACAACAAACCAACAACAAACCAACAACAACAAACCAACAACAAACCAACAACAACAAACCAACAACAACAAACCAACAACAAACAACAACAAACAACAACAAAAAACCAACAACAAAAAACCAACAACAAAAAACCAACAACAACAGACCAACAACAACAGACCAACAACAACAAACCAACAACAACAAACCAACAACAACAAACCAACAACAACAAACCAACAACAACAAACCAACAACAACAAACCAACAACAACAAACCAACAATAACAACAACAACAACAACAACAACAACAACAACAACAACAACAACAACAACAACAACAACAACAACAACAACAACAACAACAACAACAACCACAACCACAACCACAACCACAACCACAACCACAACCACAACCACAACAACAACAACCACAACAACAACCACAACAACAACAAGCACAACAACAACCACAACAACAACAAGCACAACAACAACCACAACAACCACAACAACCACAACCACAACCACAACCACAACAACAACAACAACAACAACAACAACAACAACAACAACAACAACAACAACAACAACAACAAACAAAAAATGATAATAAGCATATTTTAACATACTCATTCTCAAAATAGAGGAATCGAAGCTATCACTACACTGGCATACTAGGGTCTCAAAATAGGCGAAAAACTGATGAGGGCATGGCTGACCACTTGACTTTTTAGCACGAATTTTGGGCCGTTTCACGGGAGAAAACGCCCATGGGTTGGTGGGGGCACCCGTGTTCATCAAGCCGACTGGTTGGAATCTCCTGTGCAAGCTGGACAGCTCTATCTGGAGGCGAAGTATCTGAGTGAACATGAATTAACAGACCGAAAATCAGATGGAACCTTATGAAAGGAACCTGACATCGCAACCCCCGAACCTCGCTTGCCCAGAATACGGCTGAACCGCTTCCACCTGCTCGCAGCATGGTGGCATCATCCGGCACGCTGAGCTCGCCGGCCTGCGCGGGGGGCGCACTCATTGGGAATGTATCGCCAACAAAGCGTATTTTCGTATGTCCTTTTCACCTCAAAAACCAACCCGAAAGGGGTTCCGGCACACCCAAATAGTAGGGCAAAAACCTGCCCCCCTCCAACTCTGCAAAAACCTTCTTGTGGAAGCCCAATGTCTCGAAGCAAGTTCTCAGGCACGTCTCAAAGTTCGAGTGTGAAACGTTAACACGGGCCTTGACTACTACTAAGTTGCCATGGTCAAAGCCCGAAAAACTCTGGCTGTCAGTCCTGAAAAACTGGCAAAATCATTGGTCAATTGACCAATGGCTGCGTGACAAAACTGGTTGAACCTGTGCGGGTGTCTTGTTAGGTGAGACGCTGCTTTTGATACTTTCCTAAATATCAGCTGACGTTGTGAAAGAATCTTGAAGCAGCAAACAATAGCAGTCCAAATACAATAACAAGAAAGTAGAAGGACCCAGTTCACTCCAGCCTCGCCCCCAACATCCTCCGGCTTCAGCGTCTGCGCCTGGACACAAGTCAAAAGAATGAGAACCTATATATATATATAGTGAATTAATATATATATATATATGTGCACATATATATTATGTATATATTTTCAATATATAATGCACATGCAGTATTTATATATATATATTATGCACATGCATTATATATATATATATATTATCATATATTTTAAGTATTGTGTCCAAGTCGCGGACCCTTTCTCGGCGGTGCTCTTAAGCTGAAGCTGTTGCCAGGTGATTGGCAGGCAAAAGCTTCCACGCGCGATAGACCCCACAGCATCCGAAGCAAAGGCGCCAAGCGATGTTGACCCTGAATTGAAAAACATGTGGCCAACGAATGGGGGACCTCCCCCAAAAAGTGAAGATTTCACTCTCCTATGAATCATCTTGTCCTGGGTTCCCACTATTCCTCTGACAGCCTGCCTCTTTTAGAAAGGCTTGGCAAAAAGACACCACACTGGATCGGTGAGATGTGGCTGTGTGTCAAGACCAAGGAATTCTTCCAAATGGTTGGGGTGATTGCGTCTCAGCAGGATCCATGGATCCTTGTGAATGGTTGTGGGGTTATTCCCGGGCACATCCAGAGCCAAGACCCACCTCGCGCCACTGACTTGGCTTCGCGCCATAAGGGTGCCGGGAAGTGTCGCAGTCCGACCTGTAACCAGACGTGCAACCAAAGAATGCAGTGGTACGATTGCAAACCCCGCTCATTGGGCTAAGCTGTCCATGCCAAGAAGGAGAAGTGGCACTCCCCTACAGAATCACGTGGAACCCAACCAAGGGGTCCTTCCCTAAAGGAGATTCCTCTAAAAACATATGTTTTGTTGGCTTCCACTATAATTTGCCGGACTTATAGGTGTCTATAGACCCTTCCTGCACAGTCCGCTGGGTGAGTGATATGTAGGAATCAACCTGAGGGCTCGGTCATAGTCAAGGACTCCCCTGCGACTCCACTCCTTTTGGTTTGTGAAACGGCCCTCTAGGATATCCTCAACAAAGCACACACTTGTGTCAAGAGATAAACTGGTCGGGCTGGCGCAGAGACTTGTAATTCGCCAGAATCCGCTCCGTGTTGCGGTCGAAGCTCCGCTCCGAGCGGAACTCGGAGCAAAAAAAATCAGCAAGAACGAGGGGCAGAAGTGGTTTTCGGAGTGGTTCCGGACGTCTTGTTCTTCTTTAGGAACGAGTGGCTGTGAATCTGTGGTGGGTGAAACACACTGAACAAATTGTTGCCGCGCAGAAATGCCCCCATGTTAATATGTCTTATTCTGTCCACCAAAGGATCATTAAAAAACACTGCCATCTGATCAATATAAATAGTGTTCCCGCTTCAAATGGATTTGGTGAGCTCCCCGTACCATACAATATGATGGTGAATATTGACAGCTGCTCATCTGCTTTTGGCAGGTCGTCACCCTTGCACATATCCGTGCGGGTGTCTATTTTTGAGGGTACCCCGTTTGAAAGGTTGGTTGAAATGCAAATCAGCCGAGAAAAAGAAGAAAAAGAAACGAGCAAAACTCTTGAGGGGCCCCAAGTCCCACGTCAAGACGCGACTACATCACGTCAGGTTTCTGAGGGCCCAGACCATCTCGCTCCGCCCGGCAGGCCTCCACAGCGTGGTGTTTCGTCCTGCCAAGTTCATCCCGGCCCCCAACCCCCCCAAAAAACACGGCTCCTTCAAATCAGCCTGATGCATGTTTTGCTGACAAAATAGCACCTCCAGCTAGGAGCCTGATTTGGGTAAAACTGATGCAAGCTCTCGCTGGAGCATCAATGATAGCCCGAATACGTGTTGGCAAACGTTGAGTGGTGCAGCTCTCTTTCGCACCCTCCATCACAAGTAGTTCAAAGGGCTTCGCAACGGGCATGCGCAAGGCAGCGTGGCATGGATCAATGGCTCTTGTCACATGGGCGACTGCGCTACAATTTGTTTCATACGACCATCTTTCCATGAAAAAACACATCACCATGCGTTGCACGTGTCCACGTACGTACACACACCAATACACTTGCATGTGTCCAACCCACCCACATGCCACACGTTCGCCTTGCCGGTCTCGCAGGCCCAGGTCGAAGCCCCAGGCCTCCCGATTTGCTCAAGCTTCCGGCGTGCAAGTGGAATATGTGGCGCAGCCATGGCAAACACAAGGAAACTCACCACCTTGGGGCTTGACCTACTTCCAGACACACCCGTGTGAGTGACGGGCCCGACAGGCCGGACGGGCCTGATGGGCCTGACGGGTCTTACGGGTGTGACGGGCTTAACCTAACGGAAAGATAGGTAAATAGACAGATACACAAATGGGTCGATAGATGGATAGATACGCAGAAGGGATTAGATTACGTTGGATGAAGAGAAGCAGAAAGAAGGATGGGTATGTAGCTGGACAGACAGGAGAGTATGTAGATAGAAGGAAAGAAAGGTAGAGATAGAGGGAGAGTAGAGACAACTCGATTACAGTAGAACAAATAAATAGATTGACAGATAGACATATGGACTAGATTATACTAGGTCAGGTCACATCAGATTGGTTGGTAAATGCACAGATGGATGGACAGACAAACTAATAGACAGGTAGATGACAAAGACATATGGATGAAAAGCAAGGCAAATGGATAGGTAGACAAATCAGTAAGCCACTAGGCAGGTAAATGGACAGGCAGACACACAAACAACGGTAGCTTCAGGCAAGCAATCTGCATGCAGGCGGGACCATGGCTTCTATCAGGTTTGATTTGAACCTGCTAGCATAACCCGAGCTCCTGTTTGAAGCGTCTCTTGAAGCCCCCTTTTTCCGCAAATCATCTCTGATGCGATGGGTTCTTGTTTAAATCGCTTTGCATTCATTGGGCGCAGACGGGGCCGAGCTGGTCGGATGCGGACTCCGAGTTTTGGCAGACAGACTCCGAATTTTTGGCAGCTGGTGGGATTTGGCTTCTGGGATGGGAGGGTTTGCGGGCGTGGAGATTCCACACACGGAGCTCGAGACAATTTCTACTAGGACCTTGCTCCGCGCCTGGCGTGGGTTGCCAGCCAACAGCAGCTACTGCTTCGAAACCTTCACTTTCCATGGCACGACTGCTCCTCTCTTGTCAGCCTTGGCATCGTGGGCCCGACGGGCCCGAACAGTGAGAGGACATTGGCCCTAGGGTGTAAAGGTGTAAGGATACTTAATATAAAGAGAATTCTCTGCAGTTCATAATCATTCGGTTGGTCAAACGGGAGAAACAGGGATACCCATGCTAGAGGGGATCAGGATCACAAACACTGTTTCGCTTTGGTGGTCCCCCAAACTATCTACATTGCCTGGGCGAT